GGGGGGGGGGGGGGGAAGGGGGGGGGGGGGGGTTGCGGAGCTGGGCTCGGCGCGTGATAGCGCACGCTCTCCTCCGCTGCCGCTCTCATTCCACTCGTGCGCTACTCGCGAGAAGACAACGTGCGGTCGTTTAGCCGTGTGCCGATCTTCAATTCGCTCTCGGGACAGCGTCTCTTGAATTGTACCTCCGATCGTACCGCCGAGAAGACCCGCAAGGAATCGAAGGTGAGAGCACGATCGGTTGAGAAAAATGAAGTCGCGTTTGCTCGAAAATCCCCGCGGGCCCGTCGGCGTGAAATTTCGCCGGCCGGGGGCCGTTCGTGCGAGTTCGCTCGATTCTCGAAGGTTCCAAGACCGACGACCCGACCGGGTCTCTCTCTCTGTCTTTCGTGGACGACGGGAGGACGAGCGTGTCCTTCAAATCGCGAGCGAACGCGCGATCGATCGTTAATCGAGAGGTCCCCGCGGATGCCGCTTCGGTAATTTCGTCAGCCGCGATGGTTAACCTCCAATCGGAGCCGCGCTCCACGCGGGAGTTTACATAACGCGTATCCACGCCGAGAATAATCGACGACGACGCGACGAATAAATTTGTCTCTCTCTGGATCTTGATTTATTCGCGACGATAAAGACCGAGCCGCCGGTTCGACTATTTCATCGTTCGCGAAACCGTGAGATCGCGTGGTTCCGGTAACACGGTAGCGAGATTTCCCCTCCGCGACACGCATTTTTGAACTTTCCGACTACACGGGGTTGTCCCCGTTTGATAAAACAACGTTTGATGATAAGTTGATGAGAAGTTTACCGACAATTTCCTCGCCGGGATTCAACGGACCTTCGGCAGTCTCGCGTTTTTCCAGAACATTCCATGCACCTGTCTTTATGATTATCCACTTTAAATCATTAATTGCTATCTGAAAGTTTATCAATTAAATATATTTGCTTTTTCAGCTTGAATTAAATGATGAAAAAAGCCAGAATTCATTGTAACGTCGTCTTTTTTTCTTTCAATATTTTTCACAATCGAGTCGAAGAAAGTATACTTTTACGTTTAACAAAATATATGTGTTACTAAAAAAGATGACTTGTCCCCACGATTCAAGTCTTCAATTAACATGTGCCGTTCTTTCTCACACAGATGCATAGACTACCTTCCATGTGGAGAGGAGCGGCTCTGCTCCAGTTGCAGGCGCGTACTTACGCCAAAGATGTGCGCTTCGGGGCGGATGTTCGCGCCTTAATGCTGCAGGGTGTAGACATATTGGCGGACGCCGTCGCCGTGACGATGGGCCCTAAAGGGCGTAACGTTATCTTGGAGCAGAGCTGGGGTAGCCCGAAGATCACAAAGGACGGTGTGACTGTAGCGAAAGGAATCGAACTGAAGGACAAGTTCCAAAATATCGGAGCCAAGTTGGTACAGGATGTAGCCAACAACACCAATGAGGAAGCTGGGGACGGTACCACCACTGCGACCATATTGGCCAGAGCGATAGCCAAGGAAGGGTTTGAGAAGATCAGCAAAGGTGCAAACCCTGTAGAGATCAGGCGTGGTAAGTTCTGTTTCGTTTATCTTCAGCAAACAGACCGCTCATGCGCGGTCTCTTGCTTTTGCCTTAGTGAGTATCTTGCGCAGGAGACGTTGATCTTTGGCCTGCACTGCGAGATAAATCCAGGATTAGCTCTCTCCCGATATGCGCAGAACAGCGTTAAAAGACTGGCTTTCCAGGTGTGATGCTGGCGGTGGAGAAGATCAAGGACGAGCTGAGAACGCTGAGCAAACCGGTGACGACGCCCGAGGAGATCGCACAAGTGGCGACGATATCGGCTAACGGCGACAACGCTGTCGGCAACTTGATCTCCGACGCCATGAAGAAGGTCGGGAAGGAAGGTGTCATCACGGTGAAGGACGGCAAAACGCTGAACGACGAGCTGGAGGTGATCGAGGGCATGAAGTTCGACCGGGGCTACATCTCCCCGTACTTCATCAACTCCAGCAAAGGCGCCAAGGTCGAGTTCCAGGACGCGCTGCTCCTCTTCAGCGAGAAGAAGATCTCGTCCGTGCAGAGCATTATACCGGCCTTGGAGCTGGCGAACGCCCAGCGCAAACCCCTCGTCATAATCGCCGAGGACGTGGACGGCGAGGCCCTGTCCACCCTCGTGGTCAATCGTCTGAAGATCGGGCTGCAGGTGGCCGCGGTCAAGGCGCCTGGCTTCGGCGACAACAGGAAAGCCACCCTCCAGGACATGGCGATATCCACCGGCGGCATCGTTTTCGGCGACGACGCCAATCTCATCAAACTGGAAGACGTCCAGGTATGAGTACAGAGAAATAAGCTGTCGAATTAACGGAATCGATCAATTGATCGCCGGCTAAACCTTGCGCTTTGTTCCCCAGCTGAGCGACTTGGGCCAAGTGGGGGAGGTCGCCATCACGAAGGACGACACCCTCTTCTTGAAGGGCAAGGGAAAGAAGACGGACATCGACAAGAGGGCCGATCAGATCAGGGATCAGATCGAGGAAACGACGTCCGATTACGAGAAGGAGAAGCTGCAGGAACGCCTGGCGAGGTTAGCGTCCGGCGTGGCGGTCCTCAGGGTCGGCGGCAGCAGCGAGGTGGAAGTGAACGAGAAGAAGGACCGCGTGCACGACGCGCTCAACGCCACCCGCGCCGCCGTCGAGGAAGGCATCGTACCCGGAGGTGAGTACTCTTCGAGGTTACTTCGTACTTCTCGATCATTGGAAAATCAACTACGCTAACACCATGTATATCATCCCCTCCTCTAAGGTGGCACCGCTCTCTTGAGATGCATGCCGGCGCTCCGGCAACTGAAGCCGGCGAACTCCGATCAGGAGACTGGGATCAAGATCGTGGCGAACGCGTTGCGCGTGCCGTGCCTGCAGATCGCGCAGAACGCCGGCGTCGACGCCAGCATCGTCGTGGCTAAAGTCACCGAAGGCAAGCTCGGCTACGATGCGCTCAGGGACGAATACGTCGACATGATCGAGAAGGGTATCATCGATCCCACGAAGGTCGTGCGCACCGCGCTTGTCGACGCCGCGGGCGTCGCCTCGTTGCTCACCACTGCGGAGGCGGTGGTCACGGAGATGCCGAAGGAGGAAACGCAGCCGCCGATGGGCGGTATGGGCGGTATGGGCGGCATGGGCGGTATGGGCGGTATGGGCATGTAAAAGGATAAAAAGCGGGAAGATACACGACGCCGCCCGGAGCAGCGCAAAGACTGAGAAAAGGAGAGTTTACCGCGATTAATACACCGACGATGCTTACACACGTGCGCGACGTCGTTGCGAGAAAGCGAGGGAAAAGGAGGGGAAAAGAAAGAAAGACACAAAACGCACCGGACAATAGCGTTTCGTTTAGAACGGAGCTCACGCGGACGTGGTTTGTAGTACATTACAAACGTTACAAACAGATGATGAGAGACACATGCAGCATGATGATCCAGTCGTTACACGAGACGTCGTTCTCGTGTCTGTTCTGTTCTTCGGATTCGCAGCATTTTATATACGTCACACAGCCGATTCATGTTTTTTTTTCTTTCTTTTCTTTTTTTTTATTTTTATTTGGAAACCCAAACGTATGTAGTGCGTACAGACCGGTATATCTCGAATAGGAGATGCATTTAATGTAAGGACGCATCGCTGCGTAGGAAAATGAACTTGTTGATATGTTTATACAGATGGAGTTACAGTATGTGTGTAATTAACCAATTACAGTAACGATTTCTAAATAAACTTCAGTTATTTTATCCGTCCGTCGTTCCCCACATTACGAGTCTATATTGAGAGAAATCTGGATCTTACGTCGATGGATTGCGAGATGATGTAAAATGATGGAGAGCCAAGGACGAGGTTACACTAGAAAATACGTGTTTTAATGTATAAGGATGAAAATGATCAGTCGTGAAAGGTTAATCATTTAGACTGTTTCGTAATTTTGCAATGATTAGATTTATTTTTCATCCGAACAAATGTGTGTGTATGTGTGAGTTTCAATTACAATTCCTCTTTATTTCATACTTATCTTACGAGCTAGATTACGGCAAGAAAATAATGAAACGGGTTATTTGTAATGAGTAAAAATTTTATTTTTAGAATAGAATATAAATATTCCCGTTACGATATTCACTACCCGTTTTTAAAAACATCTTGATAATTTTATATATATATATATATATATAAAATAAATCAAAACGTGAAATATGAGCATACAAATACGTTCTCGGTACAGAGTACAATAGGAATTACAAAATAAAAAATATATCACCATCATCAACTTACATACAGAATGGACTATTCAGACGTGATCATCTTGAATATCTAACGACATTTATATTTTCAGAATATTATGCTTAACGATTATTCTATCTACTATCGTTTTCCGAAGCCATAAACATTCAGAGATATTTAAGCTGATCAGATCATTCAGACGGGAATTTCCACATACGTAGATATTTTCATAACGATCATGAAGTCCTATATTAAATAAGAAAAAAAAAAGAGAAATGATAACACGATTAACGCAAATATTTGCGTGGACGAATGTAGCAAGAAAATAGTCAGTGGTGTACTTCCGTAAAATTGCTATATTAATATACGGAAACTCAGAGAATTCTGCCTATACGTTTTAACACAATTCGCCGCGTTAATTATTTTATACAGCAGCCAAGAGCGTGTCATAAATTACACAGACGGAAGAAGGTATCGCTATATTATGCTTCGCGCAAACGAAGATAACGAAGTTCGTAATGCAAGTAAAAATCAGTCTGTCCTATATTCTTGTGTGCGAGGTCGATACATATGGTGAAACATATATAAAAAAATATGTCTTCGCCTATGTTCAACTTTATCCTTTACAGTATCTGTCGTCCATTTGTCCAATCGCAATTTTCAAAGAAACGTACAAAATGCAGCCGTGAAAGAGAGACAGAGAGACAGAGAGAGAAAGTGGAGAGGAGTGTGCACAAGAGTGAGAGTGATAGAAAAAAAAAGAGAAAAAAAGAAAACGATTTTCCAGTATAGCATTGTTAAGAAAGAAATATCTCATTTCATATTCAAAATACAAAGGAGTCCGCTTTAAAAAATATCACATTAAGCTTATATACGTTATATCCATATCGTAAAAAGCGTACTTATATTTCGCTAAGTGTTTTAACCTAAGCCCCTATCTTCTCAATTTCGTCCGCGTCTTCCGCGTCGAGGTAGTGAATCTTTTTGCCGAAATGTTTCTCTATATCTTTACAAAGCTGCATCGCATGCGGCGAGTCGATTAGGTTAATAGCAATGCCCGACTTGCCAAATCGTCCAGTTCGTCCGATTCTGTGCAGATATGTCTCACAGTCGGCCTGTCGTTTCTGGTCCATTGGCAGGTCGAAATTCACCACTATCGTAACCTGTTCTACGTCGATACCTACGAATTATATCGAGAAATTATCCGTTATTATCTGTCGCTCCTTCACAACTTAAGGGAAACCCGAGGTCCTCCTGTTTCACTGCAAATCTGTTAGCATCTATACTCGTTATTTGGTGGCACTGAATCCTTTGCACAAAATCCTTTCGCACAATTAGAATAGACATATTAAGGCATGGACGTTTAACTTGATTCGAAAATAAGTTTTATGATTTGTTAACTTTTTTTTAAGGATTCTTAATTCTGTGCAACCAGTATAGTACTAAGAAATTTGCAGTAAAATAGGAGGACTTCAGGATCAACTCAAGTGTGACAAACAATTCTATGTACATGCATCATGCACACGTAGGTATCAATACATTGGAACCTCCCACCCTCACCTCTGGCTAAAACGTTCGTAGTGATGAGGACTTTCTCGAGTCCCGCTCTAAATCTATCCAGTACGGAAATTCTTTGTTCCACTGTCAAGTCGCCAGAGAGTATCGCCACCGCATGCCCATCCTTCGTCATTTTTTCTGCCAACCAACTGGCCGTCTTCTTCGTCTGAGAAAGGAATGATATCGTGCCAATTTTGTTTTTATCGCTACGGAACTGCCCGGGATTAATTAATTAATCTCGATGAAAACGTCGGGATTCTTACGTGACAGAAAATAATCGCTTGCCCGATCGTGATTACGCCGTAGATGTTCGTAATCGCGGTGTATTTCTCGTCGACATTTTTACACTTGATGTAGTACTGCTTGATGTTGTCTAAACTCTCTTCCTCCCTTAGTAATCGTATTATCAACGGATTACTGACTATGATCTCCGCGAAGTTCATCACCTCGGGCTCGTACGTTGCCGAGAAGAACATCATCTGACACGTGCGTGGTAACATTCTGCGAACGTAATGTAAAAACAACGTAACAACAATCATCCGCGCGAGACGTAAAGATATATTATTCGGCCAAGTTCAGAGCTCGGAGTGATTACTTGTGAATGCGAATACACTGATCCTGGTGGCCCTGCGTAGCGATCATGACATCGGCCTCATCCAACACGAACACCGATATCTTGCTGAGATCGAAGAACTTAAATTTCTGTCCCCAATCTGTCACTTTGCCCGGAGTTCCTATGATGATGTGCTCGGTGATCTTTGATCCACGGCTTACTGGAAACGAAATGGTATTATTCACAGGAATGCCTGTGGTGACGATCAATATATTATACAATGGACTGAGCGGTGGATTACTTTCTTCTCCCCTCACGGCGTATTTTATTTTTATTTCGGGACAGTAGCGCGACATCTTCGCTGCTACTTCGCCAGTTTGGATCGCTAGTTCGTAAGTCGGCGATAAACAAAGCACTTGCGGGTAATCCTTTGTCGTGTCCACTCGGCTCAACATAGCCAGTACAAATGCCGCAGTCTTACCAGTACCAGACTGAGATTGCGCTATCATATTTTGCGGCCTGAAACAACGACTCACGAAAGCTTAGAGAATGCAGTGGAAAGATTCCAAAAGCGATTGATGATTAGCACTTACGGGTCAGCGAGTAAAGTAGGCAAAGCGGTTTCCTGAATCCTTGAAGGAGCATTAAAGCCCATAGCATATACTCCTCTCAGTAATGCAGGTTTACTAGAGAAATGTGTATTGATAGATGTATATATATATATATATAATTAATGCAACGAACTTTAACAAAGTATGTATCTTTTCAATTTTACGCCAGTGGTGTACAACTAAAAATGATAAACAGCTACTAACAGGTGGAGCGCATCAAACGACTTAACGCTGTATAAAGGAGAATTCGGATCCTTCCTCTGAATTTCCACATCCTTCGTCGTCTCGACTAATCCTTTCCTGATTATCTTCTGCAGGAGAGATTTCTCCGCCAAAGATATCTGTTCCTCCGATCCGTCGTCGCTCTTGGAATCTCCGTCTTTCACGGAGTTCGGTTTGTCCAAATTTAAATTTGTCACCTACACGATAAATACAGTCGAGAAATATTTCCCTTTTAAAAACGCGGAGACGCATCACGCGAGGTGTGCGCCAGGTGGGAAACAGGTTACACGCGAAGAAAGTCATGAACGAACCGAGGATTACAATAATGAAAAAACGTCGAACATGAAGCAGGACATGAAAGCACGAATGATGTGCGTACGAATAACTTCTCGTCGTATCGAAGAAACTTCGTAATTACTATAATTAAGGCGATGTGAAACTTCCAAAAAATCTCGACTTTACCTTAGATGCTAATTTGTCCTGTTCGTCGGCATATTGTCCCCAGTCGACCTTAGTCGAAGCCATACTCGCTGGTTTATCCATTGTCAGAGCCTACGATAAAGATGCTCGTCTTAAAATACAATTGTCGAGTTGCAAATCGACAACCGAACCTATTAATGCTACGAACAGCACAATCGGCATTAAGGTTTAGGTTCGAGCTTGCACACACGGCACAGCGTGTAAGCGGTGGACTGATACACCTTGTCCCTCTTCTTTGATGTTCACGTCACTACCTCGAGCAGACTCCTTCGTAGTGTTAGTGTTATACTAAACTGCGGCACGATTGGACAGGAAAGGGACAAATTTCCCTATTGGCTGCCGAACACATTAGAGTCGGTCTACAATAAGTATTTTAGGTCTTAAGAAATTGGCCAATCACAGTTAATTTTCTTCACACTCGACAGTGATTGGTCAATTTCTAAAGGCTCAAAATATCTATTGTAGACCGACACTTACAAATTCGTCAGATAGGGGCTGCGTTTCAAAACCTTGTTCGACGGGTGGAGTCATTTAATTAACCAATCACGGTCTTTACTCTTTTTGTCCTAATTGGTCAATCAAACGCTATCCTACCAGTCGAGTTAAAGTTTTGGAACGCAGCTCGACGGTTACGACTTTATCCCTCCGGAGAATTTAATTGGAGCATACTTTTAGATCCAGCCAAGCTTGCAGCAAATTTATCGACGTGAAAATAAGGTCTAAGGTTTAACGAAGGCGGTAGCGGTTTACTTCAAAAAGTACAGAAGTACGCGGAAATGGAACTTGAAGGAAGATAAAGAACGACGAAGTCAAAAATGAGGTAATCACTTTTCTCAACTTAAGAACAGCCGACTATTATAAAAAGGGCATTGACAAACTTATATATCGTTGGCAGGGGGTTGTAAATTAAATACGTATATATCGAAATTATATGTACGTCTAATTACCTATTGCGCATGTTCGCAAATCATTGGTTCGCTTCGTCGTTTTTTTTTACGTGTTCCGAACATATAAAAAAAAAAAGTATTTCAACCGTCCTGTGACCGATTGTACTTCAATTTCGATATTTTTTACATTAATTTCCGAAAAAAAAATGGAAAAACAAACAATGCCCAATAACGACGTTCGTTTTCAATGGTATCCATTTTTGCACGTTCTCTCTCATAGCCAAGTACCACTTTCGGGATTTACAAAACGTGTTTTGTAAACAAATTTAATGAAATAGATAATGTGAGATTCAATTGTTACGTGTGTAATCAAACAGGTAATGTAATAAATTTGCAAAAACGGATATGATATAAAATGCTGTTTATACGGATTTTATCATTTATGTATGATCAAATTACCACAGGACTAGATTATACATATTATTCGCATTATATATATTAAGACCGTAAATTTATATGTTGAGCCTTTTCTTATAAACTCCGATACATGTACATCTCCTTACTTGGATCTAACTTGCTCAAACTAGTTCAGACTGCTCCTTAATGTATTAGTTGCTTAATACAATGATTAATATTGTACTTACACTTTAAAAGCATTTTTTTCTCGGAAATATCGTCACTATAAAAATCCCTGTTACTAATCCATCCTCATTGTCTAAACTCTTATATTGTTGCTGCTGGCTACTTTATTTTGTATGGATATATCATACATCATTTTATACGAAATATACAATTTCTCGTTATATGTACAAAGAAATCGGCTGAGGACATTCTAGTCTGCATCAGTTGGAAAGTTTCAAAACAAATTTATCGCTCCCTCCGTTTCCTTCCTCCGTGTGAAGCAAATTCTCTAGGATTTACAAATGAGTCTGCTGCTGCTGCTGCGCGCGCGCGCGTGTGTGTGTATGTGTGTATGTATGTGTGTGCGTCGGGAACAAGATCGGTGAACGTTATATGTATGTATAAAATATAGATGAATGTTCTATCTCTATTAGACAGCTCCAATGATGAGTCGCATCCGTTGAAACGAGAGGAAAAGAAAGGAAAGAGATGATGTCGCCTGAGACGGTCGTTTTCCTGATGAAGCCGCGCGCACAACGTCGACATTAACACTTAAGAGAATACAGTAATTCCGAGGCTATTATTATTATTATTATCTCGAGGATTTCCCCATTTAGGATTTCTTCGCGACACCGGCTGTTATCACCTTATTGCCGGCTGTTTGCGGCACGAGACGCACGGTTATCAGCGATAGATCGAGCATTTTACGCTGGTATTTCTTGTGAAACACCATGGCGGCGGATTGCGTCTTAAACACAATCGTGGCATTACCCTCGCCCATACGTATGCTCTACAACACGAAGAATAGAGAACACACAGTTATTACAGGTAGTTTGAGAAAAATGTCGTTTATTTATGATAAAGTGTAATGTATCTACCGGAAATAAAAAGAAAAGGAGAAAGGATGCAATATATCTACGATCGAACGTAACGAAAAACTTTTGTCGTGCGCCTGTTATGTGTTCGTGCGGGGCGCCGTACATGCAACGCCGTACGAGTGCTTTTTTTGGATCATTGCATCCTCAAGAGGGATAAAGCGAGATGTATCAATGAAGCCGCCAAAGGTTCATCAATTTAGCAGTGTCTTGACGAATCTTCTCGAGACATCAAGCTACTCTTGTTTCCTTCGCTCCATTAATCTCTTACATCTCACCGAGTACATCTTCCGTCGAGAAACAATAGTACTGGTACAATGATATAAGCTAAGGGAATACGTAGGTCATTTATGTAAATCTCTTTGGTATCAAATTTACACTCGAATGTCGTATAATAGAACAATAGGACAACGCGTAACAATATTATCCATGGTATAAAAGTATTTGACTTCTTTTTTGTCAACAGATTCTTATGCCCCGAACATCCATATGCTGGGAACATTACAATCTGCGGTCAATTTCTACAACTGTAAATACATTTATACTGAGCTTACGTATGTTTGAAGTTGTGTGCGTATAAATATACATGTATCGTTCCTCTGTAACTTACAGCTAAAATACTAGTTAAGTACCAGTCATTTCTAATCGTAGAAATACTTTCGTGACAGATCAACAGGCCATAAAATCAAACATATAATATCTAATAATTTGATATAATAACGTTAATAAAAAGAGACGCGTAACAACTAGAAGTGAAAAGTCGATATCGTAAAATCATTGGTAACTCGCTTAATCTCTAATCATAATACACTTATATCCGGAACGATCTAAATCGCAACTATGTACGGAGCAATGGTACGACCCGTAAGACGAATAGAAAGGATTGGAATACTCAATCGAACACTAAACACGTTCTGCATGATTCGCTAATGTATTCCCGGCAACTGTTTGCGGTTGCAAATTTACCGGGGGCGGGGGAAGAAAAATGACGTACATATATCTTTTCATCTCGATATCATGTATCTGTTTGTTAAAAAAATAAAAAACAAAAAATAATAAAAAAATAAACCACACATCAAATGCGTGCAACGAAAGAAAATTGTTTTTACACACATACTCGGTAATATTAAATTAAACGTCCTTAATCAGTTTGACGATGTACAGTGAACGGAGGAGGTGTGCGTGTGTATGTGTGTGAAATTGTGGCGTTAAGAGGGGTTTGTTAATGGGAGGGCGAGAGCGTGCCAGGTGGTGGTTGAGCGTTTTCAGGTAAATATAGTCACCTCAATGGTTCCGATGCCTTGACACATACGCCTGATTTGCGCCTCGGACGTGCTCGCGGCCAGATTCTCCAGTCTGACCGTGTTGCTTCTGATTTCGGGCAGCTTTTTCGTCGGTTGGCCCGGCGCGGCGTTGGTCTTCTGCAGCACGATCCTCTGCGAGTTGGGCGCGTTTCTCTGAAGGTGACCGCCACTCGTCCCATCGAGCACGTTGACAACGGTCTTCTGCAGGCCGCCTATCGCCTTATGCGCTACCATTCTCGGGCCGACGTTCGTCTGACGTTCGACCTTCTGTCCGCCGGCCAATGGCGATTTTTGCAACGCGTTCCCACCCGCATTCGGCACGATCTGCACGACCTGCACGTTGGACACTTTCTGCTGCAATCCTTGCTGGCTACGCTGCAGATTGGAAACGGTCTTCTGTATGGTGGTGGCGACGACCTTTTTCGAATTCGGCATCGGCTTGTGTATCACGACTCTTCGTGTACCGAGATGCTGCACAACTTGTCTCGTTTGTACAACATCGCCGCCGGCATCGCCGATCGCGGTGGTGACGTTATCGTCTTTCGCACCGACCGACGTGTCGTTTCGCGTCGTCAGATCGTTGATCTGGACAGAAGTCGGTTTCGCTCTAACGACTCGCATAAGTGGCCTGTCTGTTGCCTACAACAAAAAAAATATCAAACGTGCGTCATTTTAAAGGGGAGAGACTAACTGCCGTGGGCGTGTGTGATTTCGGTCTTGGTCGTCGGGTTATTGTGATATCAGTGACTGTAAACCGAGCTCAAACGGATACGATGAAATGTGTGTTTTCTAAGCGATGACTTTATCGCGGCAGAATTATTAGACGAGCCTCTCGACTTCTTCCGGCATTTAAAAATTCACAGCGTTTCAGTCTGGAGGAAATGAAAAGAAACAAAATTTATTGAAAAAGTATATTTTATTGAAACATAAGTGGAAAATGTACAGCGAATTTTAAATTGCAATTGCGTATAAACGAATTAATTGGTATTTCATTTTAAAAGAGCATGACAAAGCTATCATCAGCGATAAATGTCTAAAAATGGCATCTTCTCTTACTTAACGAACGGTGGCTGTGCGGTGCGTAGTCGCACCGCGATATTATCAAGAGAAAATAAGAGAAAGAGAGAAAGAGTAACTCGATAATTATAAGTATGCTGCATCCAATTTTAACATGCACATAGATGTATCTACACAGGTTTGCCGCCTAACACCTTATGCAGTTACGGCGAGAAGAAACATTATAAAATATATTAAAAAATACTATACATATATCGGAGAATCGCATGTATTCTTGTTACTCGACTCATATAGGCTGGATTCGGCCTTACAAATTGAATTTCCAGGAATTTCTCGTTACTCCGTGAAAAGTATCTTTTTACGAGTGCTGAGATGCGCAAGTTGTGCGACAATGTACAACGGATCTTGCCGTTAATAACATGATCATCGAAATCTTAAGTAGTTCGCGCGCGAGCCCGCGCGTCACCGAGAAATCAAGCGAAAATCGCGGCGATATAATGTGATAACGTTTAATGTTATACCTCTATGCTTTGTGAATTGATAGGACGACCGCGTCCTTTACCAACACCAGGTCGAACTTTAACGGTACCACCGCCCTCCTTTACAACTCCCAGCGTTGATACGGGCTTCGTGTCTTGCTGCACGCTCTCGTTCGCTGAAAGATTTCGGAAATATCGTTCGCACACACACACGCACACACACGAAAAGCAAGCTATCGGAATATACAATGTGCGATTGTAAGTACGTACCCGCGGCACTCGAGTCGATCTTCCCGTCCTCGTTTTGCTTCTCCATCGCGGCCATCTTGCGTCTGTTCTCCTTCTCGCGCAGGAGTTTCTCCCGGAGCCGTTTCTGCTCTTCCATTTTCTTGCGATACTCCTGCATCTCCGGGTCCTCGTCTTCTTCCTGAGAGGTTTACGAGATTTCGCAATGTGTACGCGAGATGTTGTCGGACGATATCATCCGTAAAGCTGAAACCGGGGGGGGGGGGGG